GTACAAAGTTTTAGCTCGGCTTTGTTATTTTTTTTTTTTTTTTTTTATATGTGCATAAATGACTAAAGCACTTTTCGTTTCTGGCTCTTGACTTGAGCTCGTTAATCAATTAAGCTGAAATGGAATGAAGTGGGTACGAGTGTATATGTATAGTATACACAATTAAAGCTTGTAATGCTTTCAGCTTGACAGAAGAAATTTAATTCTATTGATCAATCAAGCTAATTTTGATAGAAATTGCAAATGCATTTATGATAAAGACTTTATATGTTTCTACATACCCAATGTCTTACCATTTACACATTGTATATTCATGGCAGTGCTCTATTCCATTAAACATACATACATACATATGTATGTACATATGTATATCGTCTATTACTAAGCCATTGACTGAGTGCATGATCGATGCAAATGCGATTCGGTTCCGACTGAATGGAACTATGATTGATAAGCCAAACTAGAACATTATATAGAATTCGATTATATGAATTCGATTATATGCTCGAAGTAGTGTAAGATATTTCAATAATAATCCAAGCTTTCTAGGCTTTTTACTAGAGCCATTGGGATAATTATTAGTTAAGATCTCATAAACTCTATACTATACATATAACAGCTCTTTACATGTCCCATCTAACCATCTGTCTCCCTCTCTCTTACAGGTCAAAATGCATGCGAAAAGAAATCCTTTATATTTCTGCGCAAGGAGCTGCCCGTGCGGCTGGCGAACATCATGAAGGAGATTGCTCTACTGCCCGACAATCTGCTGCACACGCGATCCGTGAGCGAGGTGAGCTCGTGGTATGTGAAGAGCTTCGAGGATGTGCTGGAGTACGAGAAGGTGGAGCCCACGCACGAAAATCTGCAAAAGTATGAACCTACCTATATATAACATCTACTCTAGAGAGTCTATAGCAAAAGTCTCTTTGGATTTCTTACAGATTTGTTCGCGATTTGGATCTCATTAGGAATCGTCACAATGATGTGGTGCAGACCATGGCGCAGGGCGTCATCGAGATGAAGGAGAACGAGGGCGGCAATGTGGAAGCGCCCACGGAGAGCTCCATACAATATTTCCTCGATCGGCTCTACATGTCGCGCATTAGCATACGAATGCTGATCAATCAGCACAGTGAGTGTGAAATGATCTCACTATATGTTATATATAAATATTATCTCTCTCTCTCTCTCTCTCTGTCTCTGTCTCTCTTCCCTTGTAGCTCTGCTGTTTGGCTCCAGTCCGCATTCGCAGGGCCGTCACATTGGCTGCCTGGATCCCGCCTGCGATATCTCCGATGTGGTGCGCGACGCCTACGAGAACGCGCGCTTCCTCTGTGATCAGTACTACTTGACCAGTCCGGCTCTGGAGATCCAGCAGCACAGCTCGACCGATGAGGCCATACCCATACGCACTGTCTACGTGCCTTCGCATTTGTACTATATGCTCTTTGAGCTGTTTAAGAACTCGATGCGCGCCGTTGTCGAGCATCACAACCAGGACAGCTGCGACTCGCTGCCGCCGCTCAAGGTGCACATCTGTCGCGGCAAGGAGGACATATGCGTCAAGATCTCCGATCAGGGCGGCGGCATCCCGCGCTCCCAGTCCGATCAGCTGTTCAAGTACATGTACAGCACGGCGCCTCAGCCATCCAAGTCGGATCTGCACACGGTGCCGCTGGCTGGCTATGGCTACGGCCTGCCCATCTCCCGGCTCTATGCTCGCTATTTCCATGGCGACATTGTGCTGCTGTCCTGCGAGGGCTTTGGCACCGATGCCATTATCTACCTGAAGGTTAGCTCCATCCTTATCTCTGTATTTCGCTTCTCAACTAACTTTCCCGTTACTCTCGCTTTCAGGCACTTTCCGATGAGGCCAACGAGCTGTTGCCCATCTTCAATAAGACGAGCTCAAAGTTCTATAGGGCCACGGTGCCCACAGGTGACTGGTCCAATCAGGTAAAATACGTTAAGAAGAAGACGAGCGTCGTTCGCCAATAAGACAGGCTGTGTCAATGTGTGTGTGCGTGCGTGCGTGTGTGTGTGTGTGTGTGTGTGTGCAGCCAAATAATCCCGAGTTAAATCCCCTCCCAGCATGTGGATGATGGAACCCTCGCTTAAGCCCAAAGTCGTAAAATGTATTTAATTTTAAATTAATTATTTGTTAAAAGCCTAATTTAATGTAGCTTGTCTATATGTTTTCCCCGATCCTAATCGAACTAATTTTGCATTTTGTCATTGATTGAGTTGACATTCCGAAATTCTGAAAGATTTCGCAAGGGTTTAAAACATGGAGCATAGGCTTTCATTTTGTTTTAGTTCTTAAGCACGATAAAGTCTTATATATTTTATATACAAAATATATATATACATGTACACATAAATCCATATTTATATTTATTGCAAAGTCTATTTACCCAATGCATAGACAGAGCATATAAAACAAAGTCTAGAAACGATTTACGAAATTAGTCTTCTCATAATGTGAATTAGTCTGTAAGCTACGAGAATATAATTAAATTATATATATGTTTTATCGAGCACACACCTTATAATAATATATACACACCTGCACATATACCCCATACAGTACAATACATTTAATGCTCTTTATTTCTTAAGTTATACTGAAGTTTTAATTCAATAAACTGGTTGAAATCTTTATACACCCAACACACCAAACCAAATTTTTGTTGTTCTTGTTTTTTGTTTTTTGTTTATCCCAATTTATAGCTAACCAATTAACCAATTCCTGATAATCCTATGGTTTCTGGGTTTATATAAAGGTGATTCCTTTTTTATATAAAAGATATCGAATTTTTAATGCGAATAACTCAAGTTTTAGAAGGGTATTATTTAAGGCATAAATCTTTATTCTACTGGGGATACTCACGAGTCTGTCAACATATATGTATATTTTTAAGTTCAGGTTACCTTGGCCTATTCGAAATTCTATTGCAAATTGCCATAGTTTACATTGGATATACTTTGGTAGATTTTGAAACTGGAAATCGATCAAAAATTTTACTAAATTGCTACATCACAACTTGAAAATAATTTAAAATAGTTTAATTTTGAACTTACCGAATTACGTATACGTATATATGTATATTCCCAAGTTATCGTGAGAAGTTCTCGCCTCAACGTAGCATACTTTAGGGCTAGTTTAAAAGGTTTTGCTTGCTGTGCCTGTTTGGTCTATCCCGTACWACTTCCTTCCTTCCTTATCCTCTTTCGTTGTCTCGATTTCTATTAGTTTATGACTTTTGATTTTTTTTTCAGCTTCTTTATTTCTTTTTCCTTGTTATTGCTCTTAAACTTATTTTCCTTAAATTTCTTTCAGAACTTTTCCAATCGTTGGCGTTATTTATATGGTTTCTTGAAAAATTTATGAATACTCTTTAAAGACTGCACCAATTGTATAGGGTATTTCAACTACAGCACTGCTTAGGAAACTATTCAATTTACAATTTTTAATAATTTTAGTTATTTATAAATGAAAAGTAGAAATTATACAAATTATATTTAAAGATGGATAAGGATAGAGGCTAACGAATAATTCAGTCGTGAATTTGATGAGAGGCAACTGAAACTCAATTCAGACTTTTCTTATAAAGACTTAACTTATTTAGTTATTAAATTAAAATTTTGATTTGCTTTCAATAAAACTCTATAAACAACTCTTGTCCACTATATACCCTGTAATGCTGCTAATGGTGTTGGTTCAAGCACAAAGCCCACACAAAGTATTTAAATTTTAGGAATTTTGATTGTCTAACTGAATTGATTGATTGATTACAGAGCTCGGACATGAATGCGAGGCAGCTAAATGCGACCATATCGAGACGCTACAGCGACTTGGAATAGAGAATCGTCACGCAAAAAAAAAAAAAAAAACACTCAGGACAAACTGCGAGCAAAAATAGATTATAAAACAGAGAACTACAAGATATATACTTATACAAATATATAAAGAGAGAGAGCATATTATAAAAGTATATATACATATATATGATATATATACACTATATCACTAGACCTAGGCAAACTGCATTCCCAGACAACGGCAACAGCAATGACAACGTTTTTGTATTTAAATTTGTATTCATGGCAGTTAAAGCGTTAAGTTTTTAAAATTGTTGAAATAAAACTGTTAAAAATCAACCAAAAATGCATATTTTATGAATGAAAATGGAAAATCAACTATTTTTTAAGCGCTACATTTTATTTTTACATCATAATAAATATTGTTCATGTTGCAGAGAGACAGAGAGATATATATATATATATAGATATAGATTGATAGACATATTTATATGGAATATCTGTTAGATTATAATAATATTCATTTAGTTTTCCTTTTTGTTTACAATTATTTTATACAAAATTCTCACATTTAGTTTGTTTAGCTTTTGCACATTATCACGAGATTTCGTTATTTATTTTGCTCGGCATTTGACATTGATTTAAACTATTTAACTAGAGCAACAATTGATTCGTTTAAACAAAGTGCATTGGATTCGATAA